ACACACACACACACACTCCTTCTTTCTGGGCTGGCTTTAAAGGGAACTTGTTGTGGGAGAGAGGTGAGGAGGTAGAGAGAAAGATACAGAAGAGAAAAACTTTATAACATTCTTTTGTCTTTATTTGTGAATACTGTGGTTTACAGTGCGTTTGAATGTGTGTGCAAATGTAAACAAACAAGCTGTGTGTGCGTACCGGCACAGAGAAAGCCTGAATCAGACATGCCAGCCTACTGTTTTAGCATGCTCTCTGCTTTTGCTATAATTGAATACAGAAGTCTTTGCTAGCTAGATAACTTGGCCTCTGGTTACAGCCTGGAACTCCTGATAGAAAACAGCTCTTGTCCTGTGGGGCAGTTCAGTTTACAGCAGCAATACAGGGCTGAATGAAGGAATTTTCCTTGCAGTTCAGACACTTCCACTCCCTTGGGTGTGTGACTGCTTCACCAACATGTCAAGTATTTTGTTATTTCACCTTGAGAAAACCCCACAAATTTCCATCCCGGTGAATGTCAGTTTTAGAAATTTTGGTAGAAGGATGAAGCCCTTAAGAGTAACTACACAAGGCTAATTTGGTCCATCATCTTCTTTGCTATGAAATGGTTTTGAAAGTTTAACCATGGCCCAATCAAGTGTTAGAAATTAATAGTGACAAGAAAACCCTTCATGTGATGTACCACTTTAACATCCCCTCTCAGCTGGCCACTGTGTAATACTTACGAGTTGCCCAGGATTTGTCTTGCCTGGCTTCCATTCAGCTGGCTTGACTTCAACTATTGCAGTCAGTCCGTCTGAAAAGCCTTTCCCTAGCAGCATATTCTTTCACAGTTCAAGGACAGGACTTTGGGCAAACTTGCTCTCAGCAGCACCGCGAACCCAGCAACCCCTGGAAACTCAACGAACCCCACGCTGCTCTGAGCAACAGTGGAAAGCTCTGGACTGCAGAGACACACAAACACACATGCACACTCAATGTGACCGAATGGTCCTCTTCCACTGAGACAAGAACTCTGAATGGGCCTCGATCCTATACTGAATCCATTGTGGGTGTGTATTTTTGGAGATGAGATCCAGGTCAAAGGGTTTTCCTTTGTTAGCACATTTGTAAAGAGGCACCTGATAGCTCCATTTGCCTTTGTTACCAGTGTGGAGATAAGTTTCTTCTGGTGTTTGACAGATTGTATTTAAACTGGGATGGAGATTACATTTTTCCGGAAAGATGGAGTGAGAGGTAAACAGATAAAAGGAATGAGAAAGGACGATGAAAAGAGAACTGAAAACACCAACAAGGTCAGAGATCAGCGCTGCTACAATAAAGCAAACTGGTGACCATGTAATAACCCCAATTTGACAATGGATGAAACAACAAGCCTCCCTCTGGCCAAAAAGCACAATTTGGCAACTTCAGCTCAAAACATGATGTGCAACAACAGGAGCACTTAATATTTAGAATCACATTGCACGCTAAGCCCAGCTAGGAGAAATATCTGCTGCACATTGAAGAATATGAGTGAAGTTGTAGCATTAGCTAGAAATGTGACACTCTTGAGGGCAAGAGGATGAGAGTTCATTTCTAACTGAGAAACACACACAAAACACAGTCAGGGGAAAAAAGGACACCTTTTATCATTATCAGCTTATTTTTACTTTGTATATAAGTTGTTAATTGTGTTATAATTATTTTAGCCTAATACAATCTGCAATCATTCTGCCACAGCCGCAGCTTCCTCTGGAACATCTGCATCAAAAGTGTTAAAAATGAGAGTCAGAAAAACCTGTTTTCTATACTGTCTGGACATGCAAGGCTGAAGGGGGAATTGAAAGAAACACAAGAATGACAAAACAAAAAAGGGCTATATGAAATTAATTTACATCCTCATTATATACCAATTACATCCATTGGTTGGTTTTTCATATAGCATGAAAAATGAGTTGCGCCTCTGGTGAATTAAAAAGTCAGTTGTGACAGAGAGCTCCAGCTTGTTTCCCTCTTAATGTAATTTTCAACCCCTATTATTCCTTAGCTATGTCCTCTCTCTGCTCACGATATGTTACGCATGCACACTACATGCACACAGAGGCCATCCCAGAGTGGAGAACACAGTGTACCAGAGGAGTGATTTATTACACAGAGCTGACGATTCCCAGGACAATTACAGCCAGCCTAAGCAACAGGCTGAAAATGGCTTCTTGGAGTGTGTACGCACAAACACACAAACACACAAGAAGCACACAGGGCATGTGCGTATGAGTGATTTAAGCAAAGATTCAAGCTGTGTGCAAGCGATAACTTAAGTCATGGAGAACAAGGCCGAATGTCCCCAAATTGAGTCATTATTCTTAGGTTAACATCCACGGAGAAACATCCCAAATATGTTTGTATTTCAGCTTTTCCTGAGGCAGCACAGTGACTGCTTAGGAGACAGATGGACTAAATATCCGTTAAGCTCCAAAAAAGCAAAGACAGACCTCTGATACACAAACAAAAACTAGGCCAAAAGGTGTGTTTAGTGGTGATGGGGATGAGGTGGTGCTTAACTTGGGGTTAGAATGAGGGCAAACGTTAAACTGAAGTGAAGTTTGAAAGTAACACCTTAACTAGTGTTCGAAAATGCAAAGTCACTGAGTGAGGCTTTAAAAATGAATTACGACCGACTGACACTTTGCAAACAGCCAAGGTTCAACATTCCCTCATACAGAAAGTGATTTGACTTCACACACAGAGCGCTTCCTCTGAGGGATGGGAAACACCCGGCGGCTGTGGGTTTGGTTTGAACTGTAATAGTCTTTCTCTGTAACTTTGACTGATATCTAATTGCTGAAGTATGATTTTTTTTAAAACACACAGAGGATGGAGAAAGGATTAAATCTACGAATGCTTGCCAGAAACAACATATCCCAGAGGGCTGTGCAGGGAATGACTTGGCCAACACGAAAGAATGGGAAGCCCCATGAATCATTCCAAGAATGCCATTTCTTATCCAAAGTAGATCGCAAAAAAATGCATCCAGTCTGTATTGGGACATTTGTACAGTTTCAGTGCCATGGGAATAAGTGATAATGCAAGCACATTTTTTCTCCTGCAGCATGCGATAGCAAAAAGCTAACATGGGGATACTAGATGCCACCACAGAAAGATTTAAGCCAGATTGCAAGCTGTATGTAAATGTAGGGTTAATACCACGTTGAGTACACCATAGTTGTTTTCTATACGAGCAGGATAATCTTACATATGTGCTAGCTGTGTTATGAGGATGAGAGCAGCTTTGCAACAGATTCTGGCAAGCTTCTTATCGGGCATCAACAATATCAATTTCACAAGTAGTATCACCCAGCCCTTTGGTTTTTTTTGGTATCGCAGTAATCTAACTTTTTTTCACTTGAATGCTGCGAGCTTGGCGGAACAGTTAATGTTAGCTTTATTACAGCGACCTAACATAAAATTATTATTTACATTAGTAGGGATCCAGTCATCTGGCATTAGGTTCTCCCACCCACAATGGTCATGAGAGTTTGTAGTAATACAAGTCTAAAGTCTAAACCACTTTGCTTGTACCTTGGAAAGAAAACCTTACATTATAAATTTCAGTGTACAACGCTACAAAAATAATCCACAACATGTGTTCAGTGGCATTTGTTTTAGAGTTTACCGTAATCTATAATTCTATAACGAAAAATGGCTATTTCTCAATCCAGCTCAACCTAAAAAAATGCTTCCTTTGCTTCTGCATTCTTGTAAGATTTGTCACATATGATGCACAAAGACATGGCGCGTGTGTCTTGGTTCTGATAAGCAGCTCATTTACAGTTAAATATCAGTCAGATTTATTTTTCACTTCTGATCACACTGGAAAGCATGCAGCACAATCAACTGTGTCATTTGCACTCTTCCAGATATAAACAAGGATCCATGTTTGTATTAGTCCTGCTCTGAGATTTTAGAAACTCTATTAATGGCCACATGAAATGCTTTAAATTGCCAAAAAAATGACAACTAGTCTAAAGTATTTGGGAAAACAGGTGATTATTAAAATTCTATCCTTTTGCAATCCCTGGTGTTGATGTCAGTATGTGCCTGTTTAGACATGTATATCATGTTTACACTGATAGTGTAGCGTGCCATCGTCTAAATTTCAGCTGGTCTGCACAAGATCATATGTGCACACCCAGCCCCCATAAATCTCTCGCCATGACGAATTGCTTTCAAGTCAAGAGTGGATCAATATATTTGCCAGTGCTTTCCTCGTGCAGCCTTGAATGGGATTAGTGAGAAGAAAGGGAGTGAATGTCAGGAGAGACAGACACA